CTTATTTATGCACGTTTGTTCGCGGGAAAGTGAGCAAGACACGACAGTGATTACAGTTAAATAAGATGAAAGACATAGGCTATAAATATAAAGAAATTAGCTACATTTATTTTCAAATTAAATATCACAACACACATTTATCATTCAGTCTAGTGCGTTTTACATATAATGTAAGCGCAACTTGTGTAGATTTAAAAAGGCATGACTGCTTGATTTTGGTGTGTATTTGTATACTTTTACCATCCAATCAATCTCTGCATGCTTTAATTTGGTGTCGCTAGACGTGTAAAAAAAAACTAAACTAAATTTTATTGCAAATTTGAAAACGATATTAAAATAAAATGAATTTAAAAATGCAAAACTATAATAACCTTGGTCTCCGGCAACATTTCCAGGTTTTGTTGTTATATATATATTTTTTAAGAATTCTCTTCTGCTCACCAAGGCTGTTTATAAATTTTTTGGGAAAGAAATGATAGAAATTAATACTTTTATTTGGCAAGGATGCTTAAAACTGATCAAAAGTGATGATAAAGGCATTTATAATGTTACAAAAGATTTCTATTTCAGATAAATAGTGTTCATATTGATATCGGAATTATATCGTATCGACCGAAATGAAGAAATATACCGTGATATCAATTTTGGCCATATCGTCCAGCCATAATTTAAATCATCTAGTCTTGCATTTTGATATGGATTTAAATTTAATGCAAGTAGTGTGTGACTTAATGAGTCATAAAAAACAGCTTGTATAAAGGAATTTGAAAAATGTTGATTAAAATAGTTATAGATGAAGTATAGCGTGATGAAATGTGTAGTTTAAAGGGTTAGTTCACCCATAAATTACTCACCCTCAAGTCATCCTAGGTGTATATGACTTTCTTCTTTCAGACGAATCCAGTCGGAGTTATATAAAAAATTGTCTTTGATCTTTAAAGCTGTTTAATGCCACTTTAGCTACATTAAAGTGATTATTACGTCTTGAATATGGATATTTTTCTTACAAAAACGCATTGATTTGCTACAGGAGGCCTTTGTTCACCCCCCGGAGCCGTGTGAGACACTTTTTTTTTTTTATGGATGGGCGCATTTTATTTAACTGCTTTTGGACTGATGCATGCAACACCCGCTGAGTGCCATGAAACAGCTTGAAAGACCAAAGACAATTTTTAATATAACTCTAGAAGAAAGTCATATACACCTAAGATGACTTGAGGGTGAGTAATTTTTGGGCTAATTTTCATTTTTGGGTGAACTAAGTTTTTCAAATTTTTTTTTTTTTAACTTAGTAGAATCAGTATTATTAATTGGAAAAACATATAAAGTTGACAAATATTATGTCCATTTTGGATTTTGCAGGTGAGCTTGAAAGCATAATACATTTTGACATATATGTCTTTTTATGAATTCATAAAATAAAGCGCATATTTTAGAGTCTGTAACTGGACACTATTTCCTTTCAGGTTTTCACCTGTTTTAATTACTATTTTGCTATTTTTTGATAGTCTTGTGCTTTAATATTAATTTTTAAAAGTAGAAATATTCCATGCTTGTAGTTTAGAGCTTAATATGAATCATACAAACTGTGTGTATAATAATTATTTAATGTAATTTAAAAAAAATAGTTAAAATAGTTAAGATAAACAGTTGTAGCCTGGAAAGTTGACACGCATAGTCTTTTTTTTTTTCTTTTTTTTTTAGCGTCAAGCTTTTAGGTTAAATGCGTATGAATGCATAAAGTGATGCTGTAGCTTGTCATTATTGCTGTTCAGCTTTTTCACTTGTTTTAATCACCTATACATGTAGCTATTTTTGGAGATTCAAATAACCATCCTGCTGTGTGACGTGTACAAATGTGACAGTACAAATGTTCCATGCATGTAGTATCTCAGTTAGTCTGAGCTCATAATGTGTAATTATATAAAGACATTTTTTTAGGATGTCACGTCTCTCCTCTTTTGCTAAAGAGTTAGTCAAAACGTTGAGAATATGCCCAGTCTTCACCTCCAGAAATACTCATTTGAAGTTAAACACGAGGTCCGGCCTGTTGTTTCTCACGAGTGAAAGAGCAATCAGTGAAATTCTGTTCATTCCCCAGATAACGTATTTCAGCCTCTGGTACTGCAACAAACAAAACCAGCAGAGATGGATTGATCTGGGGAAGCCGCTGAAGAAACAGCTTGACAAGTACGGACTGGAGCCGACCGTTTACTTTGGGGTGGTGTTCTACGTGTCGTCTGTTACACAGTTACAACAAGAGATAACCAGGTTAAGGATGAGAATATGTTTAAAACGGTCTCATCAGTGCTGTTAGGACGCTTTTACTCACTTCCTGTTTTCTGCAGATACCAGCATTATCTCCAGCTGAAGAAAGACGTTCTGGAGGGGAAGATCCCGTGCTCCATTGAGCAGGCCATTCATTTGGCCAGCTTGGCTGTGCAAGGTACTTTTTTCCTGATATTTCAAGTATGCTGAGAAATTATGATTGGTTCAGGCCAAGGGCTGCGCTGTCCCCAGTTTCAGATGATTTAGTTATCGTTAAAGCGATAGTTCACCCAAAAATTGAAATGACCCCATGATTTACTCACCCTTAAGCCATCCTAGCTGTGTATGATTTTCTTCTTTCAGAAAACAATCTGAGATATATTTGCCCATAAATGCCAATAGACTCATTATTCAATTAGAAAAATAACTCATTTAGCATTTTGCTAAATATATGCACTATATTATATATTTATTAAATGTTTTACTTCTTTAATATCTCTGTATGTTTGTTTGAATAAATCAGCCATGAAAACAAGTTTTTATGACAGTCACTGTTTAAATGTTTATTAAAACTGCCTTATGTGCAATTTAGATGATTCTATATAAATCAGTCGTTCATTTTTACCTGTTCTTCAATATTTTGTTTAAATAAATTAAAGCATGTTTTTGTCAGCAACTGTTTAAATATTTATTTAAATATAAAAAAAATATAAGAAACATAATATCATTAAAAAGTTATTAGAATGTCATTATGATAATAAAATGTCTTTATTGTGCAGTTTAAATATATAAATCACATACATATTAATATATGTATACATATTAAAGTGTATACAAATTACTTTAATATTATAGTAGTCTACTAGCTGACAGTTAGATTCATATTTAATATGAAATCAATAATAATCAATATTAAATCAAATGAATTGATTTATTGTGAATCGATACTAAATGAATCGATGTCAAATCAAAGCTTGTGAACCGAATCAAATCATGAATTTTGTGTCAATACGCAGCCCTACTAAGCGTTTTGAAGTCATATACAGGTCATCATTCGATTAAAATTACCCTTTCACTCTCAGATCCCTTTAATATAATGTGGAAGGTGTTTTGAGATGCAGTTATAAGTTGATGTTGCAAGAGAACATTTGCTTTAACATTCTTAAGATAATGTTCGGCCAGTGTCTGGTTCACGGGTTCAGATACTCCATCATGAAGGTACGGTTTTATATTTCTACGGGCTGCGAGTCTAGAAAATCAGAGCACCATTTATCAAGCTGTGCTGCCAGGCTTTAGCTTTTACCCAACACAAGAATCTCATATGCTGCTGGCAAAGATATATGTGGCAGCACCAGTTACTGGACTGCTGTTAGCATAGCAGAGGAACTGACGTCACTCGCAGTCACAGCCAGATCAAAAAAATAGTTCCCGTATGAATCAAATCATGAATTTTGTGTCAATACGCAGCCCTACTAAGCGTTTTGAAGTCATATACAGGTCATCATTCGATGAAAATTTCCCTTTCACTCTCAGATCCATTTAATATAATGTGGAAGGTGTTTTGAGATGCAGTTATAAGTTGATGTTGCAAGAGAACATTTGCTTTAACATTCTTAAGATAATGTTCGGCCAGTGTCTGGTTCACGGGTTCAGATACTCCATCATGAAGGTACGGTTTTATATTTCTATGGGCTGCGAGTCTAGAAAATCAGAGCACCATTTATCAAGCTGTGCTGCCAGGCTTTAGCTTTTACCCAACACAAGAATCTCATATGCTGCTGGCAAAGATATATGTGGCAGCACCAGTTACTGGACTGCTGTTAGCATAGCAGAGGAACTGACGTCACTCGCAGTCACAGCCAGATCAAAAAAATAGTTCCCGTATTTGCACTGTCAAAAGGCCTTTGTTGTCTTCACGTGGTTTGTGTCATTTCGATGAGGCCACACATATTCAGTGGGAGTTATTTTTGTGCACTAGCATTGCTGTGTAAGGAGGCTTCACGTGATGGTAATGTTTCGAATTGTCAGCATAGCTGTGAACATTTCTAACGGGCTGATTAGACATGCTGTTAATGTTGAGCTACTACAGTTACAAAGGCTAAATCGATTCCTTCCATAACAAAACGTCTCTTGGCTTTTCTAAATTTAGATGTGCAATTTCTATAAATGTTGTAGATGATTTTGCAGGAGTGTCAGCTCACATTTTACATTTTAAACCCAACATCAAACCCATAAAATCAATGCATCTTCATTCAGAATGAGAATGTGTAAAAAAAATAAATAAATTGAAAATATATAAAATAATTTGTAAAATATAAATAAATTTATAAAATTAAAATAAATGCATAAAATAATTAGCAAAAAAATAAACAAATTGGTAAAATGAAATAAAAAATAATAAAATTATATTTAAAATACAATAAAAATAAGTACATAATTTGTAAAATAAAAATAAAATAATTTGCAAAATAAAATCTAAAAATAAATTTAAAGTTATAAACTAAAAATATAAAAATACACAAAATAAATTGTAAAATGAAATATAAGTAAAATTTGTAAAATAAAAATTAGTAAAATAACTTCAAATTTAATTGGTGTTTGCAAAGTCAAATTCATCTCTATTAATATTGCTCATAGTTTATTATAATATTGCTCATAGGATTAGAGATTTGAATGTGCGTCATATGCATCTTCAGATATTGTATATCTAGTACATACAAAATAATAATAATAATATATCGCCCCATGTGTCTTCCTTTGAGGAATCAATTGAGGCTTTTTAATGTAACACTAATCTTTTGTTTGTCTGTTGGTTCCAGCCGACCTTGGGGACTTCAATCGATATGATTCCCAGGAATTCCTTCAAAAAATTGTGCTTTTTCCAATGGTATGTAATCATTGAACATGTTATTGTCTATTCCAGGAATAAAGACGGCAGGATATTTCATGAGTCTATTATTTCTACTCTCTTTCTCTGCTTTTCTCAGCCATGGATACAGGACGAAAGGGTTGTGGAAGAGGCCACTCAAAAAGTCACCATGCTCTATCAAAACTACCGGTGAGAGGCTGTAGCTATTTGCAAAATGGGAAAAGCCTGAAAAACTGTTGGCTACAGTTTATGTGAGGTTCAGTGAGGAGGCTTCGTGATTATCAGATGTGTTCAGATGGTTCCTGTTAGAGGATTTCAAAGGAAGCTGTCAAACGCCTGACGTGACTTATGACCAGACTTTCAGCTTTGGGCTCAGAGCAACATAAACGCTCTTGGCTGTCCTGCAAAAGTTCTGTTTCAGAAGGTCTTTCAGATGAGGTTTGCATGTGCTTGGCACACGTTATGCTGGGACATATATACTGAAATAGGTGCCACTACTCCAGTCTTCAGTGTCACATGATCTTCAGAAATCATTCTAATGTATCGAGAAACATTTCTTATTATCAATGTTAAAAACAGTTATTTTACTTCAAACTTTTGGGGAAACATCTTTTGAGAATAGAAAGCATTTATTTTAAATACAATTTATATATATATATATATATATATATATGTATATTATATGTATATGTGTGTGTCACTTTTGATCATTTGACTGCATCCTTGCTGGAAAAAGTATGAAAAAAAAATGTTGAATTTATTCAGTAATTGGCTTCTTCATCAGTGCGTCTGTAGTTTTGTGGGTCTCCTCCTTCACCGTTGTCCGTTTACTGTCTCCAGAGAGCTGTCTGATGGCCCAAACTCTGAGGGCTCCCAGAGGTCCATTCTCTCTCTTTCTTTTCCTCGTTTTCCAAACCTCTGTCGTCCCTCTGTGCCTGCTGACAAGGGGTGAGCCTGACTGCACGAGGGCGTCAATGCATTACTGCTCAGAGCTTCTCATGGGCTACAGAGTGACGGGAAACTCCTGATAACTCTCTAAAGGAATGACATGACAACATGCTCGGGTCACATTTCACAGTGAATAAAAAAAATTAAAAATTCTTAAATAAAATGCAGCCCTTTTTGGATCATTACATTTTTGGCAAGTTTAATTTATTTTATCAAGATAATTTGTAGACGGTAAATCAAATACTACTTTTTAAAAAATAAATATTTAACTTTACAATAATTTCCCATTACAGCATCATAGTGATTAGTTAAATATTGAGAATGTGGGTAAAAATATACCCTATTCTCATAAAAATGTCAATGCGACAATGCAGATATTTTTTAAAGTCTCTTCTGCTCGTCAAGGCTGCATTTATTTGATCAAAATTACAGTCAAAACAGTAATACTGTGAAATGTTATTACATTTGAAATAACTTTAACTATTTTGTGATCATTAAGTATTTTATTTTTAATCAGGACTAATTATAGTCAGTAAATCAAATGCTACAATCTTTGTGTGTGTATATATATATATATATATATATATATATATATAATATTGAGAATGTGGCTGAGAGTTGTCATGAAAATGTCACAATGCAAAAAATTTAATGCTGTGCAAAATGCAAACCACTGACTTTGTACCGTAGTATCGCAGTGCATCTTGGTTTTTATTTTTGTATTTTTCTATTTAAATCAAGATAAATTATAAACATTAAGTCCAATACTACAACGAAATGTATTGTATTTTATTTCATGTATTATATTTTGTAGTTAAAACAAGGTAAATTGTAGACAGTAAATCAAAAACTACAATTGCTATAAATATTAAAACATGGACAATGTGGGTGAAAAAGTCATCAATTTTTGTGAAAATAACCTATGCCATTTTTCTCAAGTTAATTTATTCTGATTTTAAGTTTTTACTGGAAAAAGACAAAAATACTAAGTAAAATAAGCATTCTTGTATTTTATTTATTATATTCTTTTTATTTAAATCAGCCAGTAAATCAAAAACATTATGAAAATCTTTTATAAAAATGTAACTTTACAATATTTTTGCATCATAATGATGCTGACTTGCAATGACTGTCATTTTGCTTCTCAAGTGAATGTATCTCGATTAAAGAAAGTTTAGATATATGTAAACAAGACAAAAATAATAAGAACTGACGCACCTCTCTTGTATTTCCTACAGATAATCTTTACATCAATAACCAGAACGGTTTCTACTACCATTCCCAGACCAGTCTGGACCGCTCTCCGCACGAGTACAACGGCCGAATGCGTAACGGCAGCGTTTACAGCGCCCAGAGCACCAGCTCCCTCAACAACCCGCAGCACTACATGCAGCCGTCACCCATGTCGTCCAACCCCAGCATCACAGGAAGTGACCTCATGCGGCCCGACTACGTGCCTTCCCACCGGCACAGCGCCCTGATCCCGCCGTCCTACCGCGCCACTCCCGATTACGAGGCGGTCATGAGGCAGAAGAACCTCGGGATGGTCCCGCCGGCCGAGCGCCAGAGCCACTCCATGAGGAACCTCAACATCGGCAACTCGTACGCTTACAGCCGGCCCGACCCGCTCGTGTACAGCCAGCCGGAGATCCGCGAGCACGGCGCGGGCCAGTACCCCTTCCACCTCAACTACAGCTTCCACAGCCCCTCCCCGTACCCCTATCCCACCGAGAGACGACCCGTCGTGGGTGCCGTCAGCGTCCCCGAGCTCACCAACGTCCAGCTCCAGCAGGCGCAGGAATATCCGCCGCCCAACATAATCAGGAATCAGGTTTATTGGCCGCCACCGCCGTATCCCTACCCTCACCCTCGACCCGCCAACAGCACCCCGGACTTGTCCCGCCATCTCTACGTCAGCAGCAGCAACCCGGATCTGATCACGCGCCGCGTCCATCACTCGGTGCAGACCTTCCAGGAGGACAGCCTGCCTGTGGCGCACTCGTTGCAGGAAGTGAGCGAACCACTCATCACGACCCGGCGGCCTCACATGCACAAGCGCAACTCCATCGAGATCGCCGGTCTGGCGTACGGCCTGGAGAACATGAGGCTGATGGAGAGGAAGGTGAGTCATTTTGGGAAGTTATACGTTATACACATTTAAAACTTTTCAGTAGTGTTTGTTCAATTATTCTATAATTTATGTACCTTTAGTTATATACGAACAGAGCCGATCCTAGACTTCTGGGGGCCCTACGCAAAACTGTGTCAGTGTCGGCAGGGGGGGGGGATATGAGTGGTTAAGGACGAATGAATGAAACGCATTTGTCCGTGTTTCACTCCGTCTCGAATCGCGCTCACGGAACGCGCTTGAGAAACAGTGTCTCTTTCGCGGCTTTCAGCTCGTTTTTTTAGTCTCGAGCAAGACTGTACGACATTCACATTACATGATTTGACTGATTGTTATGTAGAAAAGGCGACAGCGCACCCCATTAAAATAAATGATCATTCATGTTTTCATAACCGCTGGCCAAATTAAAAAACGAAACTAAAATTAAATCATCTTTGAGAGCAAGGGGGCCCCTTGGTGTTTCGGGGGCCCTACGCAGCTTGCGTATTTTGCGTATAGGGAGGATCGGCTCTGTATACGAATCCTAATTCTATAATTAATTCTTATATATTTATATTATTATAATGTATATTAAACTCTTATTCTAGATTTTTTTTTAATTCATTTAATTCATGTGATGTTAAAAATGTTTAAACCTATTTTCAATAGCATTTGTTAGTTCTGTGATTTATATAAATCTTAATTTAATGTTTTATAATTACATATATAAATAATATATATCTATCCAACTATATATCTATCTTCCTGTGATTCTTGATTGAATTATATTTAAGAGAATTGTTTAAATAGTACGTGTGTTGATAAATCCTATGATTATATTTATATAAATCCTACTAATTATAAAATTCTTATATAATTATTAGCATTATTATATGATTACAATATATATAAAATTGTGTATATATATATATATACTTTATATATTTTTCATTTGTGATGTTATACACATTGTAAATTATTTTCAGCAGTGTTTTGCTGATTCTTACATAATTTCTTATATAACTTCTAAGAATAACTTCTTATATAATTGTAATCATTTATAGTTAATAATATCTGATTCTAGATTGAACTATTTGAGATAATTTGTTTTGAATTAATTTAATTTATATTTTATGTGACAGTATGCATATTCTAGCTCAAACTATATTTGAGAGAATTTATTTTATTTTATATCTGTATCTTCGGTGTGACGTTAGACATTTAAACAGAATTTTGCCAATTAATAATATATAATTTATATAATTAATTAAATAAAAATCATATATAATCATTAATAATATAAGATTCTGTATTCTATTTTGAATGAATTCATGAATATTTAATGCATCAACCACCCATGTATGTGCATCTTCATCTTCATGTTATGCATTTAAAGCCCTTTTCAACAGCATTTTGCTAATTATCTAATAACATATTTAATTAAGAATGCTTATAGTTAATTCTTATATAATTATTAGCAATATTCTCAGATACTAAATTAACTATATTTAAGAAAACGTATTATTGATTTTATTATTTATTAAAAAATTTTGCATCAACTACCCAGGCGTCCGCATCAGCAGCTGAGACCCCGCCCCCTGTTGCCCAGGCGATGCCACCTACAGCATCCGGCTCTGACATCAACGTCGCCCTGGAGGTCATGAAACCCGAGGATGCGGTCATGAAGGAGGATGTCATCTACGGGCACAAAAAATCCCTGTCCGACGCCACGATGCTAGTGCACAGCAGCGGTGAGGAAGAAGAGTTCGAAGACGACAGCGGACGACACACACCGCAGTCTCAGGATGCTGTGGGCGGTCCCGAGCATCACATGACGCCGATGGGACGGCCCCTCGTAGATCCGCCTGCTTATCCGTTCAGCCACAGTATGGAGACGGGCCCTCTGGCGTACCAGCCCCATTCCATCATCCGCAAACCAGAGGACATGGGGCAGCTGCCGCCTCTGCGAGAGCCCGGACACATGGTGCCCTCGGTGTCAGAGGGGGATCTGAGCGGACAGGGACGCTTGAGACAGAAGAGGGACGTCTATAAGAGACCCGTCTCTGACGTGCCACCTGCCAGAAGGAACATCGATGGTCTTCCACCGGCGGTAAGTTCACTTGAAGATCAGAACTGAATCAGAATCAGTTAAACATGCATTTAGGAATGCAACGTACACTAAGTTTAGTTTTTTTTGCACATTCACATAAAGTTAAAAGCTTGAGAGTTTGAGTGTTTGAAAGTAAAAAATATAAAGACATGCATATTAGGGTTGCAAAAAGGTGGAACATTTCCAGTAAATTTCGGAAATATTCCAGATATTTTGGAACCATTCCAGGATTTTTTGGAATATTCCAGGAATTTTTGGAAAGATTTTTAAAATACTGTACATTATTGTAGGTCCTCTATGCCCCGCCTCTCTCAAACGCTTCGTTTTCTACAAAGTCCCTCCTTCCGACAAGCGCTGTCTGCTCTGATTGGCCAGCTGACCCAGTGCACTGTGATTGGCCGAACACCGCAAGCACTCGTTGGAAATGTAACGCTCCTTACCATAATCGCGATCTTTCAAAATAAATGTAAAGACAGAGCCCGAAAGGGGAACAGATTCGCGTGACAGACACAGTGATGAAGCTGGTATGTGTGCAGTCAGCTACAAAGTCAAAATAAAACTCTTAATTTAAAAGATTAATCACTTCACTTAAAGATCAGAATTGAATCAGAATCGTGAAAAAAAAAAAAAAAAAAAAAGTAGACAAATATTATATTAACCTGTAGTGTAAAATAAAATGATTATAATATATATTTTTATAAAATTATAATTCTAAAATTGTTTTTTTAACAGTAGATTTGTAATTTACAAAAGTAATGTATTCAGCATTTTTATAATTAAAAATAATAATAATTATTGTTGTTGTTGTTATTTTTATTTAAAAGGTTTCGATTTCGTCGGACAAAATAGTTCATGAACTTCACTTCACAATCACAAAAAATACTAAAACTGGAAAATATAAGATAAAATATACAAAAAATAAATATTACTATATTTTTTATTAAAATTATAATTATAAAAAAAGTATTTAACAGAATTGTAATTTACAAAAATAATATATATATTCAGCATTTTTATGAGATAAATTAATGATGATAATAATAATTATTATTATTATTATTAACATTATGCTTTACATTTTAATGTAAAAATATATATTTATATATTACATATCATTTATACAAATTTGTAATTAATTTCCCCTTATATTTTTTTCTGTTTAGTCTGCTTTAGTGACATTTTTACTCTGGGATACTCCATGCTTCACGTGAAAAGCGAGAGGTTTTTGCTTTTAAACGCAAAGTTGCAGGGTTTTAATTAGCCCAAAGCAGAATAAGCACAATGTAAGGCGCCATTATTTTGTGTAGCCATCCAGATGAGGTCATTAAGTCATTATGTAAGCATTTTCAGGTGTTCACTAACGAGAAGCGCCACAATTAGCTGCACCGTCTCTTCTAATGAGGTTTAACCAGGATCTAAATACTACCTCCTCATCCCATTAATAACCCATTTTAGTTATACTTAACTAAAGCTAAAAGTAAAATATATTTTAGAAATATATAAATACATTAATTTGTATGCATGTGTGTGTATATATATATATATATATATTTATAACATATGACAAAAACAAAAAAACTTGACAATTAAAATAAAAGACAATATAAAAATAAAGACTAATTTAAAATATTAATAATTATAATATATCAAATTAGAATAGTATTTAAATAATAAAAAAATAACACTGATTCCTGTCACCCGTCTGTAATCATTTATTGAGTTTTGGTATTAATGCAGTAAAAATAAAATTTTTATTTGTAATGCACTTTCTTTTTTTTTTTTTTTCAAACACTTAGTTCTTTATTTAAAATAACCTCAAAATAAGATTTCGGTAATTTACTCAACTTTTAACATGTGGAGCATAAAAAAAAAGATGTTTAGCAGAATGTTCATGCTGCTCTTTTATCAATAAGTCGGAGACCTTATTCACAGATATAGAAATGATCGGTTCAGCTCAGTTGTGAAAGGAAATGCAAACTGATTTGTGATTGCACTTGATCCAGCTGGTGTTGCTTTTATTTTCATTCCGTCTGCATGTAGAGTAGGTGTTTGTACGCCGGGTGAGGCCGAGCACTTGACTTTACACGTGTGATGTGAAGAATACCGTCAGACCCGAATGGCTGCATTCTGTGGCTCTGCTCCACTGTGTCTCTCAGACGCTGATCCTCAGACTCTGTTTCTCTCTCTGTCTCTCTCCATCGCTCGCTCCGGGGATGAAGGGTATGAAGAAAGGACGCTCCGAGGTCAAGAAGATGGGTCCCCTGAAGATGGCGGCTCTCAATGGTCTGAGCCTGTCCAGAATGCCTCTGCCCGATGAAGGGAAGGACGACCCGGAGAACGCGTCTAATGACGAGCGGGTGAGTACTGCTTTCTGGTTGATGAAATAGTAGTTAGTGGTTGACTAAGGTGTTTGTTTAGTTTTTTTAAATGGTCAGTGATGTTGGGTTAACCAGGCTTGGATATGCACAGTTTTGATTATTGATATTTTTCCAATTTTTAATACAAATTTTAAAGTATTAGTCCATTTAATAAATACATATATTTAATTTATTTATATATTTCTAATATTTAAAAAAAATTAAATGTTTTAAATGCATGAATGTATTTAATAATTATAACATTTATAGTGAAGTCATCAAAAATGTGTGTATGCATATGTATGTGTGTGTGTGCATATGCATATATATATATATACACTTCTGTAATATATTATTTAAATATATTACTGTATTTATTAGAACATTTTTATGATTGTTATTAGTGTAATATATAATATTTTTGTTTCTAATATTTTTAAAATGTGTTCTGATATATATCTATATATATATATATATATATTAAATCATTATTATTGTTTACACTTCTGCAATATATTATTTAAATATATTATTGTATTTATTATTACATAATTACTTTTATTATTGTAAGTGTTATTAATAGTAACATTTGTTGAAGTCATCAAAAATATTATTGCATATATGATAATATTTATATTTCTGCTATTTTTGTGTTTTAAATATTTTAGAATATATTAAAACATTATTATTATTTATTGTTGTTGTTGTTATAAGTGTATACAATATACATTCATAAAAAATTATATTATAGATGATCATTTATTTTCTAATATTTAAAAAAATATTCAGTTATATTTTTAAATATGTTAATGTATTTATTATTATTATTACAGTTATTATTAATTCATGAAATCAATCAAAACTATGAAATATAACATCTAGTTTTAATGAATCATTATTGCATCAAGCAGCAGCTCGGTTTGTTTATTTATAAAGCACAGTTTAATACAACACCAGGTTGCCCAAAGTGCTTCACAATATCACAATAAAATTACATGAAAAACAAACATAGTCACAGATAACAACACAAATCACATAACAACATGGGCACAATTTAAAATAACTGAACCTGCATCACAACAACTCCTCATTAGTCTTTAAAATATGTGCTTTTAACATAGCTTTGAAACCCGGTAGTGAGTTAACAGATCTAATAGTATGAGGGAGGTCACTCCACAGTTTTGGACCGGCTCGCGAAAAGGCTGTGTTTGTATTTTGTCCTAGTAAAACAAAGGAGGTGTTGATTTCGGACCTCAGAGATCTCGTAGGAGTATAAACTGATACCATACTTGACAAATACTGTTGAGGGCAGATTGTTTACAACTAAAATACTAATTGGCTTTTCAGGTGGGGATTTTTTGAGAGCCAGTCAACTCAGTTTTCTTAAATACGTCTGCACTCATTGTAAGCGTGTTGTAGGCGGTTCTGGATGAGCAGAGCCTCACGTCCTGTGTGTTTCCTGCAGTGTAAGGTACTGGAGCAGCGCATGGAGCAGGGGATGGTGTTCACCGAGTACGAGCATGTGCCCAAGAAGCGGCCCAACTGCGAGTGCACTATCGCTCAGATGCCCGAGAACAGCGACAGGAACCGCTTCCAGGACGTCCTGCCCTACGACGACACGCGTGTGGAGCTGGTGCCCACCAAAGAGAACAACACGGGCTACATCAACGCCTCGCACATCAGGGTGAACTGTAGATCTGTGACCATAACATCATGCATGGATATTTAGAGACTTATTAGACTTATAGAGAAAAATACTTATTATAATAATAACTTATAAACTTAATTTATTAAGATTATTATTAATATTGTGCCCCAAAACACACAGTGTAGATAAAACTGTAATCTTGGAAATAAGTTATCTTGTAATAAGTTTTATAATAATAATAATAAAGTTTTATATTAATAATAATAATAATTATTAGTATTATGCCCTAAAATTGTTTGTTATAATACAGTTAGAGATAATAATAATAATAATAATATATTTTTTAACCACGTTGAACTAGAGTATAAAAAATAATTATAATATAAATATATAAAATAATGAATTATTTAATTTATTTGGAATAAGAAAAATACAATTATAAGTAAAAAAATTATCATCATTATTATTATTACTATTGAAACACGTTGAACTAGAGTATAAAAAGCAAAAATAAATCATTGTTAATATAATTTAATATAAATATGTAAAATAATGAATTTAATTTATTTGAAAGAAGAAATGTACAATTATAAGTTAAAAATCTATTCTTATTCTTAATATTATTATTATGATGTCTGATCATGCAACATCAAACTATAATCGTAGAGATCTGACATTAAAAGGTGCATAATTTTTCAAAGTATTCTAAACTAAACCGTTGAACTTCATGAAATTAGGTAAGAACATGCATCTTATGGTCCAAAAGAAGCTTGCAACATTTTATGGAAATCAGGCATAGGACGGGTATAAAAGTGCAATTTTAGATTTCTATTCTAATTTACCTAAATTAGATGCACTTGAACACCAATAATTGCTCTGCTTACAGCTTTATATCAGATTAATCAGCCTTCATATTGTAGTTTCTGCTGCTTTATTCATCAGGTTACGGTCAGAGGTAAAGAGTGGAGTTATATCGCGTCTCAGGGTCCGCTCTCAAGCACCTGCCAAGACTTCTGGCAGATGGTTTGGGAACAAGGAGTCGCCATCATCGCAATGGTTACAGCAGAGGAGGTGATCTGAAAAGATCTCTGCATGCAAATTAAGTGGTTGTTATATACAGTGTCACTCTTGAATCTGATGTGTAAGTCATTGTTTTGTGTCCCATCCTGCAGGAAGGGGGTCGTGAGAAGAGTTTCCGCTATTGGCCTCGTCTGGGCTCTCGCCACAACACTGTTACATACGGCCGATTTAAGATCACCACACGCTTCCGCACAGACTCTGGGTGCTACGCCACAACGGGCCTGAAGATCAAACACCTCCTGACAGGACAGGAGCGAACCGTCTGGCACCTGCAGTACACAGACTGGCCCGATCACGGCTGTCCGGAGGACTTTAAAGGCTTTCTCTGTAAGTACAGCACTAATGAGGGGCTTTCTTTATATCAAATGTACTGCTTTTGGCACACAGGACATCACAAATGGTGTTAGGATCTGCATGTGAAAAAATAAAGACATTAGTGTAGTGTAAACCAGAAAGAAAAGTGAAAGTATTCTCTTAAGCATGTTGCAGTTGGTAAAGTGGGTCACAAAACATCTTCGGCTCATATTTCCGGGTCAAATATACCTAAAATATGTATACCTAAATACATATTTTATTTTGCATTAATATATGCAATTATATTTAATCAGTATATTATGATGCATTTTTTTCTTAATGCAAAAACTTTGTTTTATCATCGTCATATTAAAGATCAATTAGTCTGTATATTAAATAATATATAAATACAAAATAAATAACATCTTTAATTGACAAAAAAATAAAATATATATATATTTATTTATGATCTTTCTTAACACTGTGCCTAAAAGTAATGTCACAAAATCTTATTGTTTGATTTAAATTGTTGTGCATTATACATAGTTTTATAATTAACCAACATAGCATATAATTATGAACATAATAATATACAAAATATTTTTTCCCTTCTGATTTTGGGGTAAAACATGACTGGTTAAGTTTGCTTAAAATCATCCCAACAGTGTTATTCAGCACCATTATAATGATTCAAGAAACAGTATTTTGATGATGTTTATATACTTTAAACTTCAAGAAGACTATTCTTGCGGCGTGTCCCTTAGCTGGTCTCTTTCTGTTGTGCAGCTTGTGTGTTTTCGCCTGGCGTGGCTCTTTAAAACGCTCTATTTCTGTGTCTCAGCGTACTTGGAGGAGATCCAGTCCGTGAGGCGACACACCAACAGCTCCAGCGATCCAAAGAACACAAACTTGCCGGTCCTGGTGCACTGCAGCGCAGGGGTGGGACGCACTGGTGTGGTCATCCTGTCTGAGATCATGATAGCTTGTCTGGAACATAATGAGGTACACATGTCCAGTGCTTACAGTGGCATGAACGCATGAGAGATTTAGTGCCTTTCACCAGCTTTTCAGGGCAGAGTGGTCACGGTTACCAGGGTAAAGGACATACACTGCTTACCACTGGCAGAAAGAAATGTTACACTTCTGCTAAGCTTACAAACACACGGTTGCTGGGAATAGAGATGACAACATTCTCTGCAGATGTCAGGATGTGACTGATGGACAGGTTTGTACTGCACTTAGACCTAGTATGCACATTTAATGTGACGAAATCACAGCCGATGGTCGCTGAAGGACAGACAGTGGTACTGTTACGTAACTCGGGGACATTTAGCCACTGAAACACTGAAAATGCCATTTCACAATTTTCCAAACACTGATTGCAACGCAACTTAAGACAGAGACATTGAACAGACTGTACTTGAATGCCTCGTTTACATCAAAATGAAATATGGTATATGGGGTGGCTTAATTACTTTCACTGGAAATACAATAGAAAAAGATTTGATTTAAAAATAACTCGTTTTAATCCATTGAAGGAATTTAAACTTTCAAATCAAATCAAAACGTTAATTTAAAAAATAATTTATTACAATTAATTTAATAATTATTAAATATTTTAATAATTTATTACAATTATTTAATTAAATCTTAATTTGAAACGTGATTAACAGAGCAAAAAAATCTAATAATTTGTGTGAATTACTAATAATCTGATATCAGTGCGAAAATATTATGAAACACTTCGAGTTCAAACCTAAAGACTTGTTTATTTCCATTATATTTTAATTATTATACTTTAATGTTAAATGTTATTTAATTAAATGTTATTAATATTATGCATTTTTAATATTTATATATTTTTTCTATTATTTTTATGTACCTTTTATATACAACTTTTAAATCATCGTGTAAATTGTTTGTTGTGAATGAATGAATCCGTCTGATATCAGTGTGAAAACAGCTTCATATTATTAAAGACTTGAGTTCAAACTTAAAGATTCAAAATGATTTATTATATCTTAATTAGTATACTTGTATATTAAATGTTGTGCAATTTAATATAATATAAAATATACAATATTTCTAATTTTTTTATTTACCTTTTTTATTCAGGTTTTTTTATCATTTTTATGTAAATGATTTGTAGCAAATAAATGAATCAGTCTGATATCAGTAAGTTTAACTCAAGTGTTTCATAACATGAAGCTGTTTTCGCAAAGACTTAATTATTTAATTATATTCTAACTATTATATTTCAATATTAAATGTTATGTAATTAAATATAATTAATAAATATTTATGTTTCTATAATTTTTTTAACCTTTTCATATACAATTTTTGAAATCATTTTTATGTGATGCACTTTGCATTATCACTGTATGTGAAATCTGCTTTTTTTAAAACTTGCCTTTGCTTATTTATTTAATATTATAAAACGTAGGGCTGGGCGATATAGCTAAAAAAATGTATCAACAATATAAAGTTTCATATCATTCGGTATCGATCATTATTGACATTTTTTATAACCTTTTTTAAAACAAAGAGCAATAGAAATTTTTTTTTACATTTAACCACTGTATTTTTTAATTAACTCAATTTATTGAGACAAACAACAAATATTTGTTTTGTTTTAACAGTCAAAACAAAATGTTTTAAATGCAGATTAAATAGATTAAACTTTTGGCTTGTCTCCCGAGGTGTAATTAAATATAATTAATAAATATTTATGTTTCTATAATTTTTTTAACCTTTTCATATACAATTTTTGAAATCATTTTTATGTGATGCACTTTGCATTATCACTGTATGTGAAATCTGCTTTTTTAAAACTTGCCTTTGCTTATTTATTTAATATTATAAAACGTAGGGCTGGGCGATATAGCTAAAAAATTTATCAACAATATAAAGTTTCATATCATTCGGTATCGATCATTATTGACATTTTTTATAACCTTTTTTAAAACAAAGAGCAATAGAAATTTTTTTTTACATTTAACCACTGTATTTTTTAATTAACTCAATTTATTGAGACAAACAACAAATATTTGTTTTGTTTTAACAGTCAAATCAAAATGTTTTAAATGCAGATTAAATAGATTAAACTTTTGGCTTGTCTCCCGAGGCCACAGGAGGGCGCAATGAGCAAAATAATTCAGCACATTAAATTGTCAATGCAAGGAAGTAACGACAAAATGTTTTAAATGCAGATTAAATAGATTAAACTTTTGGCTTGTCTCCCGAGGGCGCAATGAGCAAAATAATGCAGCACATTAAATTGTCAACTTAAGGAAGTAACTGTCTATAAAAAAAATGTGCATTACGTCTAAATGAACTCGTATAAATCAAATATTATTTCGTAAATTGCATAAACAATTATGAACAAAACAGCATCACGTATTTATGCATTGCTTAATACAAAGAGCCGAAGCGCCATTCTCACAGACTGCATTTAAACACATATGAGACACAGTGAAAAGGAATAAACCTCCACAAATTTGCGACGTGTTTTCTAAAAGTTTAAACCGTTTTAATTTTGCATGGCTACATCTCTTGTGTGAGACGCGAGTGCAGCAGTCGTATTTGTCTGCCTAGAAAATGTGCTGAATATGCGTTCTGTGTAAATGGCTTGGTTTCGGTTTTAACCTAATCAAGATCTTCCCCGCATTGAGCTTCTATATTTCTCTAATATTTTGAATGAATAACGCAGCAGCGGCGCGTCTCGTGGGCTAGACTAACAAAACATTAAACTTCAACGTCACTTGCATCATCTCCGCATCTCGTGCTCCTCTGATGACGCTCCCTGACGCACATCTAACATTGGATTGTACTTTTTTTGCATTCAAATACAAATGTTTATTTTAAATTCGACTAATATTTTAGTCACAATCTCCTCATCGCAGGCACAGCACTCATGTTTGTGTGTGCTGTCTGCGTCACTCATAGCACGTGCATATATCAAACATTTTTTATATTGTTATCGAAGAAGGTGTACCGTCGATATATATCGATACCGTTTTATCGCCCAGGCCTAATAAAACGCATAATTCAGACTCTAAATTCGGATTGGCTGCATTGAAAACTGCTGTAAAATACTCATGTTTCAATACTGACGTACCTATGTTTCCTGACAGATGCTGGACGTCCCGACTGTTCTGAACTTGCTGCGGCAGCAGCGCATGATGATGGTACAGACGCTTTCACAGTACACCTTCATTTACAAAGTCCTCATTCAGTTCCTGAGAAACTCCAGACTGATCTGAGACCAGCGCTGGCACAGAGGAGGAGCCTACGAGCCTCTCACAACCCCTCAGTCCCTGCCGGAGCCGTGGCTTCGCTTGTGCTTGCGCTTGCACTTCCTCACAGTGTTAGTGACGGGGCGAGACACGAGCCGGGGCAAGTATAAAGGACGCTGAGCATCGCTCTATTTTACCAGTATTATTCACAGATTTCACTGTGGGCTTGTACACGGATGTCAGTCCCAGCACTTTTATTTTGCTGTACATAGACGCAGCTTTGTTATTTAATACGAGATGCTGAACTGCAGTGGTTCTTTTATACCGGATTTTATTAGTTTACCCATGAAGGTTTAGTGAGCCAAAATGCAAATAGCGGACACAGTGTTTAAAGACGTGGCACGTGAACTTCAGCTGATGGATGAATCTCACGAAAAGCCCAGATTTGGTGTCAAAATGTGCTTAAAATAATGCTGAAATGCAAAAAAAGGTTTGCTTTTCTTTATGCAAAATGTTTGAATGCTCGTATCTTTTCATGAGATTCACCCATTTGCATCATGGGATGGATATAAGAGGACTCGGGGAGTTTGAAGTATCACGTCCAGTGTTATGCGGCATATTCAAGCGAAGCTGTTGCTTGAGATTTTACCGTTTAACCCTACGAACGGGTTTCACCCAGCAAACACATCTCAAGTTAGAATGCAGCCAAAGACGGGAGGGTTCAGACGCAACCTATGAATAAGTTACAATATGTATTAAAATTGTATGTGAAATCTGTATTCTACATATAATAATCAGAAAGGCTTTCTCGTTGCATTAGGGGTGATTTTGTATTTTTGCAGCTCTTGCCACATTTCCATCTGCATTCGATAACCAGACGCACCAAAGAGCATCACAGACTCGACTTTTGTATTAGAGTGAACAATAGTGTGGGTTTATTGTGAACGGTTTGTGACCTCATTATCTTAAACACACCATCTATGATGGTTTACCAAAGAGTTTTCAGCATATCGAGTTCTTTAAGTCTTAAAACACTGTGAAACTGCATTATCCATTCTGTTTGCAGAGGAGCTGAAGGAGCAAAATCATTAGGCCCTTTGTGTTTTCATTTGAATTGCAGTCAGGTTATTTACGATAAAGCAGTGCAGACTGATGCTACATTCCACCATAATGGTGCTGTTGCATGTTCTGAAAGGAACAGTTCACCCAAAAATTTACATTTGCTGAAAATGTACTGAATTTGGAGAAATCCATCACTTGCTCAGCAATGGAACCACCAGCTGTTTGGACTCTCATTCTGACGGCACCCCTTCACTGCAGAGGATCCACTGCTGAGCAAGTGATGCAATACTACATTTCTCCAAATCTGAAACACTCATCTACATCTTGGATGGCTTGAGGGTGAGAACATTATCAGCAAATTTTCGTTTTTAGTGAACTATGGCTTTAAACCCAAACTTAAATGCAGCGTCCCGTTCAAACAAAGGCTTGGTGTGATTTTTTTGGTCATTTACAATTTATTGAAAGTATACAATTTTTGTGGAGCCAAATTTTGCCATTGGTGAATTTCACAGAAACGTCCAGGTCATATTTCACTACAAAAATCAAAAGAAAAAAGCAGTGCAATATAAGTAATAAAATACATTTGTAAAGTGCAATTGAAAGTATTTGTTATACTGAATTTAATTTATTGTGTGCAGAAAGGACGATGTATTACTGAATTTCAGTATTGAGGATTAGTTTTCTTTCACCTGACAGTAATGATAATTTGAGGGCAAATAGTTGCTTAATTGTTATGAAAAATTGTCCCAGAATCGGCTAAAATATCAAATTAATTCTAATTTTTTTTCTTTTGATTTTGGGCTGAAATATGATCAAAAATTTTCTTGTTAAGAGTCACTCTCTATTCAGTTCTGACTGGTGCCTAAAACAAAAGCAGTGTGTCCTTGTTGGGTTTTGGTTAAACTGTAAAGTAAAATATTTTTTGTTGTGAAGGACAATCACTTTTTCACATTATACTGTGCATCTGAATACCATGAAACATTAATTCAAAAACAGACTAACATATCCACAGGGTGAGTTCCTTCAGCACAATGGTTTAATCAGCATTTTTCCATCATTACTATGAGGTAAAAGTCATTAAAGTGTTTTGGAGTAAATGGTTGTAAAAGCACAATGTCTGTCTCAAACCTTTTCATAATTCATGTTGAGTTTTGTTGGGTTAGATTTAGACAAACTGCTGTGATGTTTGAGGTTTGCTGATGTGAGTGGACAATGATCAGTGTTCATCTGAACTGGAAAACCGAACTTAAAGACAATTAATGAACAAAGCTGAAAACTGGACTGTAAAAGCCCTTCTCGGAGCTGCTTTTTGGAATACATGGATATTAATAAGCAGATACCGTTTATATTGCTGATTTTAAGTGTTATTAACTTTTAACCACATTGCATTTGATGCTAGTAAAACTGCTGTTTCCCCCGGATGGATTCTCATCCGTTTCGGTTGAGTAGAGCGAGATCTCAGCCTCCGCTGTTGCTACCATCATGAGTGCGTGTTCTGATGATGTACAGCTGTCAGAAGAGCTCAATTATATCCCATTGTAAACAACTATATTTTTCATTCAGAAAATAAATGTTTTAAATGGTTAAAGTAATGATTTTTGTCTCTATCATTTTGCATGGTTTAAAGTGTGTAAGTTTTTACACAGTACAGATATGACAGCATTGACAAACTTTACAGTAAAAATTTTATTTTAGTATTATATGCTATTATAGTATTAATTTATAAATATTTGTTTATTTATAGTATTATAGTATTGATTTTTAATTAGCTTTGCATTTTGTATTTTCAGTTTGTTTTCATTTAAGTTTTAGTAATTTTATGATTTTTAAAATATATTTCTATTGCTTTCATTTATTTTTAAGCATTTTTTTTTATTTTAGTTTAGTTTTAAATCATTTTAGTATTAAACCAACTTTGACAATTCTTGTTTTAATAAAAAAGTGACTACATGTACCTGTTAGTGTTTCTATAAAGTGTTAAAAATTAAATTGATTCCGCAAATCAACCCATTTTATTGTCCTAAATGTATAACGTGTTAGGTAAATAATTAATTTAACTTATATCTCCAATGTATCCCAGCAGCCACAAGAGAGCGCCATGTTTCATGTGATGGTTTTGTGGATGCATCAAAATGTATTGTTGGAATAATCTTAAAGCTGGATGGATTTTAAGAGAATTACAGTGTTGTCTCAGAACAAATAAAAAGTTTCAGTCATTGTAAGATGTGGAGACTTGATACATCTAAAATATTTCTAGTTCCTCAATATTTCTAAAAAAACATTTGGCAATATACTGATGAATCTCTCTCACTATGGAATCTTCCAGACGTTACATTGACATCCATTGAATTAAAAATACACAAACTCAAAAAAAGAGTAAAAATGGGACAATAATGTCTAGGCCACTTTTTGTACCTGAACAATTACAGGTGACTTCCGGGCTGTTTAGTCCCTCCCATTTGGCCAGTTTACTAATATTTTCCTTTCTACTCATTTATATGAGTAAATCATTGTTGCATCAAATTGTATTTAGGTATGATGTTACCAATAAACTACAGTGACTATACTAAAAACTAAAAATTATTAATGAATAGTTATGATTATTAATGAATACTTTTTTATGAACTTTTAGATGCCATTAACTATCTATAATGGACAAACTGTCAGTGTTTCTTATAAAATAGTGAGCAAATGAAGATTAAAATTTCAGATCCACATGAAGCTTTCTATTAGTTAGTGATGTTCTTGACCAGGGGTGCCCAAACTCGGGCCGGTGTCCTGCAGAGTTTAGCTCCAACCCTAATCAAACACACCTGAACCAGCTAATCAAGGTCTTACTAGGCATACTAGAAACTTCCAGGCAGGTGTGTTGAGGCAAGTTGGAGCAAAACTCTGCAGGACACCGGCCCTCCAGGACCGAGTTCGGACACCCCTGTTCTTGACTGTTCTCAATTGGTGATGAATAAACTCTACAGGGCCTGAGGAGAATCAAAGTTAATCAATTAAGCTAAAAGGGGAGGAGCCACCTTAACTCAAAGCTGTACTAAATAGCAAAGCCAACACTGATGTGCATTGGAGCATTGTGCCAAAGTTTGTCAGGATGGGTTTCTTGCAAGGTGTGTTAGTGTTGATTATGATTGTGGTGTTTGACCTGAAGAGTGCATGGGGAAGTTTGAGACGCAGTCAAAGTCCAAGCAGCATGAAACCACAGTCAGGTCCTGCTCTTTCTATTCAAGGGGTCTTGAATCCTTTGCAGAAGTTTTCTCAGTTTCAGAGTCAGGACTCCAGAGGATTTGTGCAAGAGCCTCTTGGTTTTCAGGCGAAGCAGCTGTTGCAGGGTCCAGTCAAGCCTTTGGACTGGAGGTTTCCCATCGTTCCAGAGGTGCAAAGTGAGTTGGCAGTGGACTTCCAGTTGAGGCAACCTGTGACTCCCAGTAGTGTGGCTGTTCAATGCGGTGAGAACCGGGTTCTTGTGGAGGTAAAGAAGGATTTGTTTAGCAATGGCCA